TGAAGCCAGAACTTTATGGGCAGTTGTGGGGTAGGGGAAAGGAAGGAGAGGGAGGGGGGAGTAGGGGGCAAAGGGAGGCGAAGCTGAAGTACCGAAAGAGGCAAGAAGCAGAGATGCTATTTACAGCCGCCGTCCTTTTCGAAATATGCAAAAACGGGTTTGAAGTGCTCTTGAATGAATTTCAGACGGCAGTATCTGTGAAGCGGTGCTGGGAAAACCTGCTCGTTTCGAACCTTACTTGGGCGTATCTAAATGAATGGTGAAAATGTGGAGTGTCTAATAAAACCTGGGCTCGGGCTGGAGCGAGAGCACAGCGGGGTGGGCGTTTGCCTTGCACGCGGCCGACCTGGGTTTGAGTCCCAGCATCCCATATGGTTCCCCGAGCACCGCCAGGAGTAATTCCTGAGTGCAGAGCCAGGAGGAACCCTGAGCATTGCTGGGTGTGACCCCCAAAGCAAAATAAAATAATAATAATAATAATAATAATAATAAAATAATAATAATAAAACCTGGGCTCCAGGCCTGGCTACGTGGTGATTTAGGAGCAGAGTGACCCTGGGCCAACCTAGCCACCAATCCAGCCCACTCGCTCTGCCATCCCTCTCGGCAGACTCAGGGCTCAGAGGAACTGGGTGTCAGTTGGTCACTGGCCAAGGAGAGAACCTCTGCCAATACATGACCTTTATCCAACACCAAGACTCTGAGGTTGAAATCTGGGTAAAAAAAAAAAAAAATCACTCGGGGGACCAGGGAGACAGCATAAGGTGTAGAACACAGAGCACAGAGCCAGGAGTAAGCCCTGAGCACCATCGGGGGCGATGCCAAGCCCCGCCCCCCGTCCTTCCTCCTCCCCCCCCCCCCCAACTCCTCAGCCTCCAAATCATTTGAGGAACCTCTCAGCATCTGGCTAGTTTAAAGGAGAATAAAAGATGGGGGGTGGGGGGAGTCCCTGGAAATGTGGCTCTACAGCAGTGTGCATACCTGTACAAGGCCCTGGGTCCACCCCCATCCCCGTGGGGCCCTGGCATGGCCAGCAGCCAGGATGTGGAAGGGCCTGGAGACCTGTCTTGCTCCCGGCATGGAGCAGTGCCCAGGAACGACAGATGCAGAGTGGCACACGATCGAAAGTCGTCCCGAGAAGGACGCAAAGTTGCTCCAGGAGTGTCAGCCGTGGGTCACACTTCTGCCGTGGGCAGGAAAGCAGGCGCTGGGAATCAGGCCGTGGTCCCCTGCTCGCATCCCGGGCCGGACGCAGTGACTTCGCCCCTCGCTGCTTCTCTTTTCCCCCACAGCCCAGTTTCCCAAGGACAAAGGTTCCCGTCCTCTGCACATCGCATGCATCCGGGCTATGGATGTGGGGCTGGCGGCGGGGCCGGGCCAAGTCCTTTGCAGACCTTCCACAGGCAGCTGAGGAGGGGCCTCCTGCCCACCAGAGGTAGAATTCGCTAGAGGTGGCTTTCCCTACCCGCCAGCCTGCCTGTCCTCACGGAGGACAGTGGCCTTGCGCTGGAAGTGTTCTGGCTGGCTGAGAAGAATTCAGTATCCCAACAGGGGGCGTCAGGCTGACCGGATGCCCCGCACACGTGGCCTCCCCGTGGCCTCGCACACTGGGCTCTGGTCTCCTCTGCGTGTGCTGTGTCCGGCCGCAGCCACTGCTGATGGCGTCCTGAGTTATACACGGGTGTCCCTGTCTCTGGGGTGGACAATACACGGGCACTGTTTCTGAGGACCCCCTTCAGCGGTGATTCACCTCCCGCCTTTGATCAGATGGTGACAAGTAGAAAGATCAGCCCAGCCCAAGAACTGACGGTCCATCTCGAGTGGACGGTCCTCGTCCACTGTCCCGTCCTCCCGTTGTTCATCGATTTGCTCGAGCAGGCCCAGTAACGGTTCCATTTTTGAGATTTGTTGTTAGTGTGTTTGGCACGTTGAATACGTCACAGGTAGCTTGCGCAATACTCTCGGTAGCTTGCCGGGCTCTCTGAGAGGGGTGGAGGAATCGAACCCGGCTCGGCCGGGCTGGCTGCACGCAAGGCAAACGCCCTACCGCTGTGCTATGGCTCCAGGTCCTTACATATGTATATATTCTCTCTTACATATGTATATATTCTCTCTCGCTTCTCAGGATTTGGGAGTCTCCTTCTGGTCAGATACACAAGACCCTCCACGTGCCTCCAAACAGAGAGATTTACACAGGTTTGTTTTTTTAATAAGGATGGAACGAGACCAGGAATGTAAGTGCTTAGAAATACAGAACAATGATGGTGGAATGTAAAGAAGGAGCAAGTGATTTTTGATGTGGTTTAAATAAACATTCAGAGGGAAGGAATCTAAATGATGTGTTATAAGGCGATCTATCACCTATTACAACTATGACACAGGGAAAAAGAAATTCTGGGTTCATCGGTCGGGAACATGAAAGCAAACATTGGCTACAGAAAAGAAAACAGAAAAGACTTCCCCTCCAACACCTTTTCCATTTTGATTGCCCAATATACACCATACCTGGTTCAAGCGATTATCCTTGGTTTAAAGAAAGAAATGAAGAAACCAGAGAAGGGTACAGATTCTGAGGTTTGCCAGAGGGTAGACTGAAAGGGTCAAGAAGCAGACTGCAAAAAAAAAAATCAGATGGGGGGAAAAAAAACACCCCACATTTCATAGTTCTGTAACTCAACGATGTGGCTAAAAAACCAGAAACATCACTCATCCTGGACCTTGAAAGCGATACACTTACAAGCGACATAAGAAAATAAGACTGTAGCATTGCTACGGCCATTCTGAGGTGACATCCTCAGACCCAATTAAAGATCAAGAGACTCAGGACCACAATAGGCCCCACTTGGCATCAGATTAATTTAAGTGGATGAAAGGACAGGAAAACACGCAGGCCAAGCCCGGGCCCCAGCCTTCTGCTTCCCTGGGAATCCTCACCAGGCTCAAGGCTAGTCTTTGGGCTCTCGTCGGCTGACAGACGTGATGGGGGGGTGGGGGGGGTGGGGGTGGACAACGGCCACCTCAAGCTCAGGGCCACGCTGGGGCCGGCTTGGGGTGACTGCCACGCTCTCCCAGCACAGGCCAGCAGTGGCCCCTCGCTATGCCTGTGGCTGTCAGAGGGGGCGAAGAAAGGTTTTGAAATCAAACAGAATCAGAAAATACAACAGTGAAAATGTAAAAGCTCGTTTTGAAAAGAGTAGGAAGTAAGAGCTTACACACTGGTGAAAAATGTTCAGCCACATCAGTAACGCAGAGCTAAAATAAAAACAACAGTGGAAGGGTTTAAAAAAAAAAGAATTGGGGGGTGGAGACCATACCCAGCAGTGCTCAGGGCTTACTCCTGGCTCTGAGCTCAGAGATCATGCCTGGTCGGGCTCAGGGGGACCAAATGGGGGGCGGGGGATGCCAGGTTGGTTGTGTGTAAGGTAAGGAAGTACTCTATCTGTTGTATTATGGCTCCAGCCCTAGTAAAAGAGTTTTTCAACATAAAAGATTAAAGTGATTATAGTGGTCAAAGTTGAACAACCCGGGGAGACAGGCTCTCTTGTAAATTGCTTGTGGAAATGTAAAATGGCACACAGGTAAACCGCGAAGTGCTTCTGGAAAGCCACTTGGCAACCAGTGCAGAGTCCTGAAAACACAGGGCCAGAGAGATAGGACAGTGGGCAGGGCACCTGCTTGCACATAGCCTACTTGAGTTCGATCCCTGACACCTCATCTAGTCCCTGAGCACTGGCAGGAGGAATCCCTGAGCTCTGATGGGTGTGCCCATCCCCGTTCCAAGTCAAAGAAAACACAGACATTCTATGCCACTGAGTATATCTCCCGTTCTAAGATGATAGCAAAAATGTCATAAAAGAGAGACCAAAGCTGCTTAAAGGGTGGCAGAGATGGCTCAAAGGGCTGAGCACAAGGTCTGCGTGCAGAAGACCTGGGTTTGGTCCTGGTACCATGTTCCTCTCCACACTCCCCAGGTACTGCCAGGGAGCAACCACAGAGAACCAGCATATATGACCCACCCGAATCAAAAGATACTTATAACTCTTTTGAAAGATAGGGTAACACTGGGCAGTGTTCAGGGCTACGCGTGGAGCTGTGGGTCAGACACGGGGCCATGAGGAAGCCAGGCTTGGGTGCTACCACTCTGCTCTCTCCTCTGCCCCCCATGCCCCCTGCTTCCTGGGGCCAGGAACCAAACCCAGGGCCTTGTTTACTGTAACTGCACCATATCCCCTGCTGCTCTTCACTGATTTTCAGGAACTATTTAGTGAATACACAGAAAAATGCTGACCGTGCAACTGTTTGAACCCATCGCCCATTCATACAGAATGCAGAACTGCATGAAGTATGATCTTTACTCTTTAAAATGCATGTGTCTACTACATAAACACACACACACACACACACACACACACACACACACACACGGAATGTCACACTTGTAGCAGAACATATGGCAAATTCAGATCATGTTGAAAGATTCGGGGGGATTATTCAAAGGGCCATGCACAGGCTTTGCAGGAGGGAGCCCAGTTTGATCTGTGGTATCACACGGTCCCTAGAGTACTGGTGGGTGCAACCTCCAAGCAGGGGTCTGGGAGAAGCCACTGGCTGTGACCTCAAAATCCATCCCCCAAAGGAACTCCACTGTACCTTTTAATCCAGGTTTGTTAAACTTTCTCTCCTTTAATACTTAAAAGAACCTATGGGACTACAGTGATAATACAGAGGGCAGGGCAGTTGCCTTGCATGTGGCCGACCCAGGTTCAATCCCCAGCATCCCACATGGGCCCCTGAGCACCATCAGAAATAACTCTTGAGTACGGAACCAGAAGTCACCCCGAAGCATTGCTGGGTATGGCCCTCAAAGCAAAAATAAATGAATAAATAAACTGCATGCCTCACAATGATGGCTACAACATGTTTCTTATTTTTAAAAGCATCCCGTATCTACTCTGGCATTTAAAAAAAGAACCGTACTATCTCCAGCTATACTTCCTTACCAGATCGATATTCTGCATGATGTCCTGGAACGAGGGATGGGTCCGGAACTGTTCGAAGAGGTCACGTTTGTAGAGCAGTGCATACACCAGGTTGGGGTTGTGGTGGAGGGAGTTGGTGAGGCAGGAGTTGATGATCTCCAGCATCATGCGGATCACTTCCTCGATCACGTTCAGGTCTTGAGCCTGGGAAGGAAAGCAAACCCCCCTGCAGGTCAGCGCGTGGCTCCCGAACACACCATTCATCAGCATGAAGGTCAGGGTGTGACCCGCAACACTACTGCTGAAGTCAGGCCCAAAAGAACTCCCCACGGCTAGTTTGGGAAAGCATCTTGAGAATAGGGTTTACCAGTGACTGAAGGATTTGAGTTACAAATCTGTTGAACATAGGATGCTCATGAGTAGTTTTAAAAAATCGACGATTGTCTCACCAATGTAGAAGAGGAGTTGGAGCTTACTCAACACCCCCTCCCCTGGCACCCCAAGATTCTTATCTGTATTCTTATCACAGTGCCATCTTAAAGCATTAGATTTACGCACTATTAAAGCGGCGGTGAAGTCCCACCAATTTCCTGAAAAGTACCTAATTCAGAATATGAGCTCATGTCTCTGCCCTGTAAAGAAAGCTTTCAGCGTTTAAGCTTTATATTTACAGATAAATGCCCTGTTGCTTTGTTTCTTTTTCTTCGGAGTCAACAGTCTTGAACATGAAATAGTTTATGAGACAGCAAAACTCAAAGTAAACAATCAGCAGTTCTCTTGAAGAGAGAATAATGGAAAGAGCAACAATGCAGATGAACACAATAGACTTCTCTTTCTCTTGAGTTTCCGAAATTATGTTTGAAAGCTGACACAAAAATTATAACATTGTTTGATGCAATCCTCAAAGGAATATCTAAGACATTTCTATTATAGACGCGGGAGGGAAAGAGATTAAAATGGGGATTCTCACTTCAATAGATAAAATGTCAACATCATGAGACAAGGACCGTTTTTACATGTATAATGTCCAGAACAAATCCACACAAAGAGATCTACTTAAAAATACTATGCACACATTAATATGGAGTTCTAAAAAATGTTCATGTATCCATAAGAAAGGCAGAAAAACAAGGCGAGCATGAAAATCAGGGAACAAACAGGAAGTGAAACAACAGATTGAGTACTTAGCAAGTCAATGCTTAGCATTAATTGCAGATAAATTAAAATACATTCATTAAAACTCAAAAACTGGTAGACTGGATAAAAAATAAACACTCTGATATAAATATATGGTTATTAAAAACTTGAACTGTAACTCACTTCAAACAGAATGAAAGCAAAAGGATTAGAAATGACATACTCTGCAAACAACAATAAAGAAAAACAACAAAAAAGCAAAAAAGTATGAAAGAAAGTTCACAGAGCAGATTTAACGGACAAAAGGTATGCTTACATCCATCCAAGTTACCTCAACTATGTTGTCTTAAGTACCAGCATTCAACGAAAAAAAAAAAAATAAGAACGAAGCCCATAAAAATAAAAATCATCCATGTTCAAGAGACAAAGTAATCAAGCGTATCATGCTAAAGGACAACAGATACTGACAATACCAAACAGGGAATCTGAAAGAGCGATGATTATGATCTACAAAACCCAACATGGACCTCTTCCCGCGTCGGAATCGATGAGGAATTTCAGCAGTCTTGAAAACTTGAAAATGGCACATAACAAAGCCAAGTAAAGAATGCTTACACAGCTCTGACAGGAATCTTGATTCTTCAAGATTCTTGGTGTCTAACCTCTGAATATTTTCTCAAAAGAACAAAAGCAGTAGGCATCAGATCTAAGAAACTCAGAGAATACCCCTAATGTCTGTCTAATACAGTCCTAAATAAGTACAACCTGGTAAAACAAAAACCGGTCTACATACTTAGGTATATCATATTCAAAACAATGCAAACCTATGAGAACATCTTGAAGGCAGCCAGAATTAAAACACTGCACTAAATAGAAAGGTTCCAACTATTCAATATAGAAGGACAGGATTTATAGTAAGTAGACTTCTCACGAAAAGTTACACAAGCCAATCCAGATGGAGAAGCATCATAAAAACGTTGGGCTAAGAACTGGGTCAAGCGAATTCTATAATCAGCAAAAATATCTTTCAAATACAAAGGCAAAATAAAGTCTTTTTCGAGACTAAAAAAACTTGTGATAATTCATACCCACATACTTACACTTTAAGAAAAGTTAAAGGAAACTGCACAGATGGAAGGAATCTGAGACCAAACAGAACTACAGAACCACACTGTGGTATATTGTAATACAGACATTACTGAAAAAGTAAATACAGAGGTATTTCTTATTTTAATCTTTCTGAAAGCAAATTTCTAAAGCAGAATACTGGCAACATATCATGGTTTACAGCATCTGTAGTATTTGTCACAACTGTGTCCCGTAAGAGGTGCCTAACTCACTAGCTACTCGATTCACTTCCATTTCCCTTGCTTCTGTGAAGAATACAGCAATAAACACCCGGCAGGTCCACCCAGTCTCATATTCAGGTCCTTTCGTTTCTCTGGGATGGGTTTTGGGGAAGGGACTGCTTTCAGAAAAGCTTGTACTCGCAATGTTAAGTTGCCAGACAGCCGCCTAAGGAGCAAAGTCCAGACATTTACACGGACAGTGCAGGAAAGAGCCTGCCCTTCTCACCTCACCAACAGGCTCTCCCGAAGAGTCATCATTTTGGTCTGAGAGTCCTGCTCAGATTTCCCAAACATGATTAAGGACTCATTAATTCCTCAGAGGGATTCAAGTATTCAAACTGCCTCTAGGGTCATCTCTAATTTTTTCCTTATCCACTGGAGTGCCTAGTTTACTGATAACTCACCGTGCTAGAACATCATTTTTTTTCGTTATCTGCAAAGTATATTGTTCTCCAGCCTTTGACTTTTAAACTTTCTGTGACGCTGAAAATATAGGGTGCTAGGAACCACAAAAGGGCTGGTTGGCATCATTTTATTTATTTTTTCATTTTAAATTTTAACCTGATAGTTTTGCACTTCTAGTGAGTTTGATTCACTTACATGCATTGTCACTATGGGTCTCACTGGGTTTATTCCTACCAGCTAGTTTTGTGACTTTTCTACCCGTTTCTGGTGGCCAGCTAACCAAGGACAGCATGGCCGCGGCTTAGCAGTCACCATCTGTTCCGCGGAGAGCCTGGGTCCGGCTGGGGGCCAGCTTGCCCTGGGCCACCCGTCGCCACAGGAGGCTGGTGGCTGCAAGAACCAGTCTGAGGCAGGTCAGGTGGTTGGCTAAGAGTTGTGGGTGCAGCTGGGCTGACGGGTGTGTGTGTGTGTGTGTGTGTGTGTGTGTGTGTGTGTGTGTGGGCCTTTGGTGCTTTTGGACATGGTCCTAGGGCTGTCCGGGCTTTCTCACCTCACGAAGGACCTGGAAATCACTGAGTGTCACCGCTACTTGTCATCATCACTAATGGAGCTGCACCCCACTGGCCAGGAGCGGCTGAGGAGACTCCACGTGGCCGCCTGGGAAGCATCGCCCCACACTGCCCTCGCCCGCCTTGATCTGAAGCACGACATTCCCAGGCCTGCCCTCCCTTGCCTGCACCTGCTCAGTCCGTCAAGTGGGCGACCCTCGCCCGCTGTGCCTCCTCGGCCAGTCTGCCAGTTTGGAGACTGAAGAGTGTTTCTATTAACCGCCCCCCCCCCCCGCCCCAACCCCATTCTAGGTGGCTTTCTGTCTTTATTGGGGTAAGGGCAACAGCATTTTTAGCACCTGACACCTAGGCAAATGTCCTTCCACTCATCCTGTTTTTTTTTCCTTTTTTTTAAATTTGTTTTTGTTTTGGTGATATTTTCTTTTTAGTGTTTTTTTTTTCTTAAGGGTCCCTCAATTCTACACTCTTTAAGTGCTCCAAAGATTGACCAACTACATCCAACTTTAAGAACACTGTTCTCCATCTTATGAGATGCCCCCAAGGAGATGAACACATTTTTAAATTATTATTATTTTGCTTTCTAGGTCACACTCTGTGATGCTCAGGCGTTACTCCTGGCTCTGCACTCAGGATCACTCTTGGCAGTGCTCGGGGCACCATATGGGATGCTGGGGATCAAATCCAGGTTGGCCGTGTGCAAGGCAAATGCCCTCCCCATTGTACCATCATTGCTCTGGCCCCGATGAACACATTTATATTTCTCCCCCAGGGAGGAATCTCCCTGGCCCCTCCCCGTTTTCACTGTTTTGCTATAGTTGCTTAGGTTTATAATTTCATCTTAAAATACAAAAGCCAGAAGCTGGTTTGCAAAGAGTCCCCAGGAAACTCATGTTCTATACTAATTTCGGGGATACGCCTTCCAGTACCCCGCTTCTGGATGGGCCAATTTGCCTTCCACGGGAAGGACATCTCTGAAGCCTATGCAGAATAAACCCCTCTGGCACTGAGATGCTTTGAGTGTGTATACATGCGTATCTGAATGCACGATGCCAACTTGGTCTGGGGCCATACCAAGCCGGACCTTGGGGAGCACTCCAGGTTTGCAGCTCGGGGGACCATGCAGTACCAGGGATCCAACCTGGGGGTCCTGCATGTGAATCCTGCTCCACCCCATGGGGCTATCTCCCAGACCAATGTCTTAAGTTTGCATCCATTCTTCTTCTTTTTTCTTTTTGGGTCACACACGGCGATGCACAGGGGTTACTCCTGGCTCTGCACTCAGGAATCATTCCTGGCAGTGCTCGGGGGACCATATGGGATGCTGGGAATTGAACCTGGGATGGCCGTATGCAAGGCAAATGCCCTACCCGCTGTGCTGTTACTCCAGCCCCTGTTAAGACTGAATTTTATCTGTGGCTAGAATTATAGTCATTTTTTGGACAGAGAATTTGTACACACGGGGGTAAAGTCACTTGTCTTGCAGGCAGCCCACCCTGGTTTTTGTTCTCTGGCTCTGACCCCCAAGCACAGATGCAGACACTGGTTCACAACCCAAAACCCACACTCAATTTTCTAAAGTGTGCGGCAGGGTGGGGAGCAGCGGGTGCTGAGGCCGAAGACCCCCATCGGTTCTGTGGTGGGAGTAGGATGGGGGGAGGGGTTTGGATTTCAGCACTTTGGTGGTGGTATGGACGGACAACCTGCCCGGGAAGAGGTGTGTGAAAGTGTTCCCGAACCGTGTAGG